CTCTGTCTGCTCCTTTTTGCATGCAGCAGTCCATTCTTCTGGGTGCTACTGACACTGTCTTTACAAAGACACTTTTTTTTTTTTTTTTAAATTTGACAATTTTTATTAATATTTTGTCATAATCCCGACATTAGTCGGGGGGGAGGGGGGGATACAGAAGAGAAGAAGGAAGGGGGGGGGGGAAAGCAGCAAGTATTATAATTGTCACATAGTATATTACATAGTATATTACATAGTCATACAGTACAGAACAGTTAGCCGAGACAGGGTGGGTATGGGTATTCAATATAAGCTTGTACTCTCTAAGGTCCGGGGTCGACTCGACCCATATTCTAAACACAGCTCTACAGATTGCTCCCTTTGGGATTAATCCAGGCGATCCGATCTCCATGTGTCCCAGATCTCCCATGCCTTTGCGGAGGTATGGGATGGGGGCCACAATTTGGTGTATGCTCCTTCATATGCTCTTTGTTCTATCAGAGCGGCTAGTACTCTGGCGAAGGGCGGACATTGTTTAGATTTCCATGATCTTGCGATCTCTCTGTGAGCTGAGAGGAGAACATGATATATAAGCTTCCTCTCGGCTCTGGGGGTTCCGCTCGGAAGAATTAGTGTTATATAGACTTGGGGCGTAAATTGCATATTAATGCCAATCAAGTCTTGCAGGAGCGTATGGACTTCCGTCCAGAACGGTTTAAGCTCTGGGCACTGCCACCAAATATGGAGGACATCTCCTCTTGCTAATCCACATCTCCAGCAGTTGGGAGAGCTATTTGGGTAGAATTTATTAATCCGAGTAGGTACCATGTACCATCTATAAACACCCTTGCGTTGTTGCTCCACTAGGGAAGTGGATGTGAGTAGCTGGTTTATGTCTTGGAATAAGATATTCCATTCTGTGGGGGAGATAGGCTCTCCCAGATCTGTATTCCATTGTTGTGCTACATTAGTATCAGGGAATGGAATAGAGTTAGCGATGAGTCGGTAACACATGGAGGTCGGTTTACATGCGAGTGGTAATGACCCGTTTATACAGACTTGTTCCCACACCGTGGGTTGTCCCATATCAGATTGCAATACCCTGTCAGCACTAGTTGACCTGTAGAGGAACGATCTCAGTTGTATGTATGAGAATTGTGAGGTTACAGGAAGTTTATGTGTGTGTCTCAGTGTGGAGAAGTCTTTTAATGTCCCGTGTTGGAGAATATGATAGAGGTGTGTTAGTTTGTTGTCTATCCAAGGATTGGCATGAAAGGTCGGTATACAATACGGGAGGGCCGCCACTGGTGTAGCTGGTGAAAGTTTAGTTGGGGAGCAGAGTGTGGCCCTATTTTTGTCCCATATTTGTAGTTTGAGGGCGAGGAGGTCGGATGGATGTGGTAGGGTCGGGCGGTATACTTTTGGTATCCACAATATGTTAGGCAGTGTGAAGGGCTTCAGCAGGTTTCTCTCTATCTCCACCCATTGAGGGGGCTTTTTACCCATGTGGTGGGGAAGTAAGGTGGCTAGTATGGATGCATGGTAGTAGGCCTTCACATCTGGTAGTCCCAGTCCACCTGACTTTTTAGGAGCATGTAAAAGATTCCTGGCTACCCTCGGTCTAGACCCTGCCCAAATAAAGTTGTCTACCTCCTTTTGTACCAGTTTAAAAAAGGAGTGTGGGACGGGAATCGGGAGCGTTCTAAAAATATATTGCAGTTTAGGAAGTATCGACATCTTTACTGCCACTATTCTTTCAGTCCATGTTAGATAGAGAGGTGACCATTTTTTTAGTTGTAGGGCACATTCTCTCCACGTTTTAACATGGTTGCCCGTGTAGAGCTCTGTATGCTTTTTAGAGAACAATAGTCCCAGGTATGTAATGTCATATTTCCTCCAATCAAAGGGGTACGACCCTCTGAGGACTATCATTTCACTTTCAGGAACGCCTATGCTAAGTGCTTGAGTTTTAGAGGTATTGAGAGAATAGTAGGATTGTGATCCATATTCGTGAATGAGGGACATGACATGGGGCAGAGACTCCATTGGTTGGGTCATATAGAGGAGGATGTCATCTGCGAAGGCACTTATCTTAACTTCTCTAGATCCGACCAGAATTCCAGTAATATTGGGGTGGGATCTAATTGCGACCAGAAGTGGTTCCAGGGCTAAAACATATAACAATGGGGACAGAGGGCATCCCTGTCTGGTCCCATTAGATAATTCGAAAGGGTCCGATAGGAACCCGGCTTGCAGAACTCTAGCTTTCAGAGCCGAGTATAGTGCGAAAATTTGTGTGATGGTCTGATGGGGGAAACCGTATTTCTCTAGAACTTGTCTCAAGAAGGCCCAGCCAAGGCGGTCAAATGCCTTCTCCGCGTCCAAGGCTAAAAGCAGACCCCTTCGGCCAGGCCTCCGGAGCTGCTCCAGGGTGTGCATCAGTTTGTATGTATTGTCCGAGCCCTGTCTCCCTCTGACGAACCCTGTTTGATCGTCACAAATCAATTCTGGCAGAAGTCCGCTCAGCCTATTTGCTATAATTTTAGCGTAGAGTTTGGCATCTGTATTGAGGAGGGAGATTGGGCGAAAGTTTTTACATTCATTTGCAGGTTTGCCAGGTTTTGGAATGGTGATAATTGTGGCCATAAGCAAATCCGGAGGGAGGGAGCCCGTTGCGGAGGCTTGTTGGTACACCCGCAACAGGTGGGGCGCTAGTGTGTCTGCAAATTTCTTATAGTAGGCATTAGTGAAACCATCAGCTCCCGGGGATTTAGCTAGAGGCAGAGATTTGATAGCTGCGCTAACTTCTGCCAAGGTTATGGGTTGTTGGAGCGTTATAGCTTGTTCTAGTGTGACTCGTGGCAAGTGTATCTGGCTAAGATATTTGGAAATGCTGTCTTCCGTTGGGTTGTTTATACCTGTCGTGAGGTGCAGGTTATATAGTTTGCCATAAAATCTTGCAAAGGCTTGCGATATGTCGCTGGGATTTAGTATTTTCTGACCCCTATCATTTATAAGATGTGCGATCTTTTTTGTGTTGCATTTGTCTCGTAATCTTGCTGCTAACAATTTAGTGGCTTTACCGCTATGGTGGTAGGCGGTAGCTTTTAATTTATGGAGCAGCCTCCTAGTTTTGTCTGCCGTCAAGTCTCTTAGTTTGTCATACTGCAGGGAGAGTTGTATCCCTGTTTCTACTGAGGGCTGGGTCTTATTTAAAGCAGAAAGTTGCGCTATTTTAGTGTGGCATTCCAACATTGTCGAGTCTTGGGTCCTTTTAATGTGCGAAGCTTGTTTAAGAAACAGGCCTCTAAGTACTGCCTTATGCGCGGACCAGACCGTGGCTGCCGTGGTCTCTTGAACATTGTTTAGGTTAAAGTAGGTTATAAGCTCCTCTTTAATGTTAGCGGTAAATTTCTCATCATTTAATAGGGAGTCATTCAACCTCCAAGTGCCTTTCCCTGTGAATTGGAATTCATCCTTCAGTACCAGGGTGACCGGGCTGTGGTCTGACCACGTAATCTCCCCAATCCTGCAATCTGCTACCAGGGGCAAGGTAACTCTATCAACAAAAAACCCATCAATTCGAGAGTACGAATTGTATACCCTTGAATAAAAAGTATAATCTCTTGTTTCAGGGCTAAGAGTTCTCCATACATCATAGAGGTCATGTAATGAGAGTGTTTTGTTGATGATTTTGTGGGACTTATCGTGCGACAATCTAGTTTTGGTGCCTCCCTGGGTTGTTCTATCTAGGGGTGATTGAGTGAAGTTAAAGTCGCCACATAGTAATAAATTGCCTAGGCGATATTGGTCTATTTTCGTTAGCAGGGACTTTAGGTATTGATTGGAGTTCTCATTGGGGAAGTATGCCGTGACCAGTGTGTAGTGGATTGCGTTAATGAGACACTGTAGGATTATGAATCTACCTTGGGGATCTATGTATTGCCTCTGGCTGGTGAATGCGATATCTTTGTGTATTAGGATAGATACACCCTTTGTTTTGTTTACTGAGAGTGCATGGTATTGTAACGGGAAGTGTTTAGTAAAGATCTTTGGTGTATAGCCTTTCTTAAAGTGGGTCTCTTGAATACATGCAATGTCAATCTTAGCTTTTATCAATTCTTTATACAGTAAACATCTTTTCCCAGGGGTATTCAACCCCTTCACATTATACGTTACTACTCTTATGATAATCAGGGATCAGTTTTGCATATGACATCTGGTGCGTGGAGGTGAGCCGGTGTTAGCATAACAACAGCATCTTTTCCTATGTTGCAGCAATAACCATCTAGCAAATATTTCTCAAACCTAGCTACACGATCAGACCTGTCAAGTCGTACTGTACTGCTTATACGGGCTTTTGCGTCTAGTATGATATTACAGGCTGCTAAAGAAAACCTGGATAGGTCAGGGAAAGAGGGAACTAGGGAGAGAATAAACTGGGAGTGGGGAAGGGGGAATAAACCCTGATTAAGCTCTACACAAGAGAGCTGGAGCACGCCAAGCTGATCTTGGCTGCAATGTAGGGGGTACATTAAGTGAGCCTGATGTTGTCGTGGCTCATATGTGGCTCTTAGGGCTTGGAATGGCTTAAAGAGATAGTATGCTGAGGCTTTCTCGTGCCGCAGGCATTTTTTTTTTTTTTTTAACTTGTAATACACTAAAAGTAAGAACATAGCCTTTAGTAACATTTGGTCATCAACAGTTCATAGGTCTTAGTGACTGCGCTGTGTGCCGCAGTAAGTGTTAGGCATACTTAACACTCTCTCCGCAGGAGAAGAGGCAGGTCTCGCAGAGTGGTCTTGTTCAGGCCGGGGTCCACTCAGGGGACATCCGAGGTATCTTTGCCTTGTTATGGTCGTCTGTAGTGGCAACCGGGAGGCCCCACATCTTAAATTTTTCTTTGCCAGCCGGCAGCGAACTTACGGCGTGCAGTGAGTCCTGGTACTGGATGAGCAATTTTGCTGGGTATCCCCATCGGTACATAATTCCTTTCGCTCGTAGCGTTGTTGTGAGGGGAGTCAGGCTTTTCCGAAATTGGAGGGTCCCGCCGACAGGTCCGTGAAGATTTTTAAGTCCTTGTAGGGATCTGGCATGCCTGGTGTGCGGGATGCTCGAACTAGCCTCTCCTTGGCATGGTAAAAGTGTACACGGACTATCACGTCCCTCGCGGTGGAGTTAGGGAGGTGTTTCGGTCTTCTCAACCTGTGTGCTCGGTCGATGATAAGCTGATCCGGGTGCGTCTCCGGTGACAGTGCTTGGAAGAGGTCTAACAGGTAGTCGGGAAGTGCAGGGTTGAGCACTGACTCCGGTATACCGCGGATACGCAAGTTATTGCGTCTTGATCTGTCCTCCATGTCGGCCATTTTGACCGCATGGTCGTGCAGGACGGTGTCCAATTCATGCAGCTTGTCCGCGAGACCGTTATGCGCTTCAGCGAAATCATCCATCCTCTTCTCTGAGCAGTACGCTGGCTCACCTCTATAATCTCCTTCCTGAGATCTGCGGTGAGGGTTTGTATCTGCGTCGCCATGTTCTTCTGAATGGTGTCAGTAAGTTCCGACAGCATTTTTTTCAATTGCTGAGTTGTAGGCGGGCTGTCCTCCGGTCCTGTATCTGAGGACAATGGGGATAAAGGTGGATCCTCCTCGGAGCGAGCGGCACCGCCATCTGCATCTGGGCTGCGGCCTTCGCGTGCGTGTGGTGTCGCCGACTTGGCCAAGAAAAAGGAGGCGCGATCTGCCTTTGCAGCTTTATTTTTTTGCCTGTGTGACATCCCTGCAGGCTCGGGAGTGGTAGCTTAAGACTGAAATCTTGTGTGTTCTTTTTGCAGCCCGATTATTTTAGCCCTAGTTCGCCCGGTAGCAGGAGCTCCGTTAGGATGCGTCCATGCAGCTCGGTGTCAGGCCACGCCCCCTACAAAGACACTTTTGGCTAACAAGCCCAACTGATTCAACTCTCAGCACACAGGTCCAAAGAGTCTGTCACCATGCTCCCCCAAATAGCAGAAACAACACTCATGTTCAGAAAGGCAAGAATACCCTTGTTACAAAGGTAGGGGTAGCACAAACAGGGTTTTTCACTAAAGTAAGAATTGGTAGGAATTCATATTGAATTTCAAAATTTTTATGAAAATAGTTAAACTGTCTATTCTGTTTCCAGTTTAGCTAGTTTGGCCTTAAATTTTAAATTCAATTGGAATTCCTGGCAATTCTCACATTACTAACTAACCCTGAAGGACTAGACTTTAACAACATAACTTTAAACTTGTGCTGACACAACCAAACAATATATAAAATATGACAGCAAAACTGGGTAACACAAAACATGATAAAATGTAAATTCTCGCAAGGGTGGGAAGGGGATTAGGAGGACACAAATAAAACTTAGCACACTGACTGCAATTTTCATGGTATGCAGATATGTGAATATTCATTGAAAGAAGCAAATTCTCTAGGTAAGCTACACCTACAGATATTGCACACAACATTCACACAACAATGGAAATCGATAAGGGCTTCAAAGATGGTGATACTCTCAGATATAGATTCTGTTACATCCTCATACACTTTTCTTTCCTTCACTTTTTCCTCTTGTTAATGTGGTGGCTGGCTAGCAAGCGCTGGCCAGCTGCCACCTGATTAACACCTGCAATACTGAGGGTTTTTAAACTACTGGTACTGCTACATGGTTAAGTCTTGCTCCTTTGTGGTTTTTTCCCCATTATTTGCTTGTTCTGCGAATAGTACACTTCAAATTATTATTTGTTTGCCTAAAAGCAAGTGACGGATAGTTTGCAAATGTGCATCCTATCGTGCTAGATGCACTCTGTCTTGATGTAGTTTATAACTGGTGCTTTGTACATATTTCCCATTGTACAGCGCTAGGCAATGTGATGGCGCTATATAAATAATAAAATATTAATAATAATATTTTGGATGTGATACTCTGTATAGTTTACAGATTCGGAAAGCACCGATTTTAAACCAGACACCAAATGCATCCCGCAGATTGTTCCAGATTTGGTCTGGTTGACCAAATTCTGACCAGAATTAGCTTTCATAAATATGAAAATTGCCATTCTGTTTGGAATTTGGTAATTTTCAATTAATTCGGTCCAGACAAAATCGAGTGATTAGTGGATAACCCTTTTACCCATATATCTCTTCTCTCTTGTGTTATTCTAAAATAAAACCACAATATAGTGCCAATAAAATATTGAATAATGAACTGCTGAAAATGTTAATATGCACCTTTACAGACTTCCAGTGTGCATAAGTGGCAGAACTGTAGCCTGTATGGGTACGAATGGGTTACAAAAAAACTCTGTTGTGTTTGATAAAAGTTATGACTAAGAAATCTTGAAATTGCATACAGCTTGTCAGAAGAAACCAGAAAAAGAGAACTGAAGAGGGCACTAACAAACAATTGTGACATTGTTTGTTCTTTATAACAAGATTCTACGTAAAGGAACACCCCAGGCTGGAAACTATTAATTTTTTATGTATAATTTAGAGAATGCATTAAAAAAATTGTATAATTCTGTATATACACTGATCAACCACAACAGTAAATGTACCTACCTGATATTGTGTAGGCCCCCTCATGCTGTCAAAACAGCTCTGTTGTGTCGAGGCATTGACACTACAAGACCTCTGAATGTGTCCTGTGGTATCCGGAATCAAAACATTAGCAGCAGATCCTTTAAGTCCTACAAGCTGTGAGGTGGGGCCTCCATAAATGGGATTTTTTTCCCAGCGCATCCCACAGATGCTCAATCATATTGAGATCTGGGGAATTTGGAGGCCAAGGCAACACTTTGGCCAAAAAAGATAGAGAGAGGCCCCCCTAAGGATAATTCTCCCCTGTGGTTTACCCCTGGTAAATATATACACACAAAAAAGAAAGAAATCCCCTCTAAAGGGACTTAAAGATGGAAGAATCCTTAGTCTAATTATAAGTCATGTCAAAATAGTGAATAATACATCACACAATTGAGACAAAGTTTCCACTAGTACAAAGTTACATAAAGTAACCAACAGTAAGTAAGTAACAACCCCATTAATACTTGACCTAAATGGGGGAACAGAGATAAAGTCATAAGAGAGATAATTTGTCCTGATCAAAATAATACAATATGAGTGCAAAAATATGCACTAACGGAGCTCCATATGTACTCCCTAAAAAAATGTGGTAAAGGATAGGATAGGGGGATCTCAGAGAAATGGATGTTACCACACTAGATGATAACCATAATAGCCTGATAATAAGTCCCCCCAAGTGTAAAATACCAAAAGTCCAAATATCCCCTCCTCTAATACCTCAGGAAAGTCCCTACAACCAAAATAAAGCTCTAAATCTAAGCTCCATGTAAATCTCTCAAATAGACCATGACTGATAAAGATAAGTTTCCACTAAATAATCCCTAAATGGTAGACTACATTAAAAAACAAATTCCCATTCCCACAAAACTTAAATAAACAAAAAGATAACAAATGAAAAAGCCTTTGAACTCTTTGTTATGTTCCTCAAACCATTGCTGAACATTTTTTGCATTGTGGCAGGGTGCATTATCCAGCTGTAAGAGGCCACCAGGGAACACAATTGTAATAAAGGGGTGTACGTGGTCTGCAACAATCTCTAAATAGATGGTACATGTCAAAGTTACATCCACATGAATACCAGGACCCAAAGTTTCCAGGGAGAACCCAGTGATGTCTGACAAGCATAACACTGTCTATGCCGCCTTGCCTTCTTCCCATAGGGCATCCCACTGCAATATCTTCCCCAGGTAAATGACACACAAGCACCCAGCCATCCACCTGATCTAAAAGAAAATGTGATTTCAGACCAGGCAACCTTCTTCCATTGCTCCATGATCCAGTTCTGACACTGATGTCCCCATGAAGGGAATATACAGCCCCACAAGTAGCAAACTGCAATGCTTTCTATCACACATTTCTATCATGGCCATAATTGCTGTTTCATCAATTTGACCTACAGTAGCTGTTCTGTGTGATTAGATCAAATGGGCTAGCCACATGCATTAATGAGCCTTGGGCGCGTATGACCCTGACCCAGGTTTACTGGTTATCCTTTTTTTTTTTTTTTAATTCTTTATTTTTGCTGTGCATATGTGTAGTACAGGCAGGTGAGAGGTGCCCCAAGAGCAGTCCTCCAACATTTCCCACGCTCAACATGTGGGGCACAAGATAGACAAGCACAATTATATATTGATGTCAGGTATAAACAAACGATTGTATAGTAAGATGCATATGTCAGGGTGAAATATTCAGAGTTGTGACAAAGGTAGAAAACATGACACGCGCAAGTATAATATTAACATGGAGATAGCAGGCTAGTAAGCATCATCTTCTGGTATAGCATGCTAGATTTAAACAGACTGATAGCTTAATTGTATGCTTGCTTGCTTAATGACACGTTCGATTAACATAAGTCAGAGTATTCAGGTATTAAGTAGCATATAGGTAGGCAGTAAACCGTCCACATGAGAGATAACAGACATTGCTTAATGGGATGTACAATTAAAGGTTATGCTTTATATGACATTATTGACATTTCCTGGTTTGGTTCTAACCGGTTGGACTTAACAAGCTAGGTACATCTCCTGAGTGCACAGTAGCATAGTATACATTAGGTAGATACAGAGCAAGCCTGCCCTAACAGTCTGAGGCTCTGGTACTGCAATTAGGTTTGAGTATTTAGGCATGTAGACATAGGACTAGGTAAACTGGAGTCTGTACCCGACCTTGCTCTTCTGAAGTGAGAAGAATCAAAAGCAAACATACTAACTATATAAATAATCATATAAACCACTGTGTCCCCACGCACCCAATCGCTGAGTTGCAGTGTAGAGTAAGCCCTGCAGAGTTTAGACTTATAGAATAGAGTGATGATAGGTAGGAACTCAAGTCCAAATTAGTATTTTGCTAGGTAATAAATAGCACATTAGCGCAGGGAGGCGGAGTTGTCCAATTACGTAACGGCCAAAAGTGGATGGGGACCAGACCTGTAATGTGAGTGCAGCTTCAGCCGACGCCAGTGCATGGGAACCCGCTGAGGCAGACATGGGGCGTTTTGAGGCAGGTGTAGCTTGCATCTCATTGCCACAGATTCGGTGGCTCAAGTTAGAGTCTGGATCCTTCCCATGTTGGGGACAGCATGAGCGCCAGGTGTTTCTTCGACGCCTGTGGCGTCGGTGCTTCAACTTCTGTGGATGATGCCGGGAGATTGCCTCCCTGTGTGCTCTCCGTCCGGGTGGGCCAGTGAGTGCAGGTGCTTTGTGCGGCATGGTAGTTGTGCCCAGAGGGGGCCCGCTCTTTGCCCGCCCCTCTCCATTCCGCTTGCCACTCCAGCCCCGTGCCGGCTCCGCCAGTGTATGAGCCTCCAATTCGGCCCAGAAGCGCTCGAAGGCTGCATCTATGCACTG